AAGTACTTTATAGAAATGCTTTTATGGCAATGCGGCTGAATTAAACATAGCGGTAGGGGTTGGGTGAGCATGGAGGAAAAAATATATATCATATGCCTCCAATACACGAAATGTACACATCTGAAAAGACTGTTTGCAAAGCTAGTTTCTGGAACATGATGCACAGTGAGTTTGTCCTGGGATTTCAATATTTAGTTAGGCATGTATGGCAACGCTGCAAAGTAGATCAGCTGCGACTGTTTGTGACTTCATGTACCCGTCTTTAAAAATGGCTGCTCTCCCAGACAAGTCGTCCTCCGACGTTGTTTGCTGTTATTCCATTTTGCCGCAAAGGGAAAAAGAGTTTCCACTGTAGAAATTCCTCACCAACTTGTTAAAATTTATGGAGAATGTTTTGAGTCTATGGCACGTATAAAACTGGTATGGGAAGCTTGGGGAAGGGTGGGAAGAAGCCAGGGTTGCTTAGGGCAGAAGATGGTCCTCTACATTTGACTAAGCTGGTGCTGGAAGCCACATCTAGCAGCATGATGTGCTTGAATCTCCTGGCAGTTGGGAGGGAGCCAATTATGGTTTGGAATAACTGGCTTAGTGGGAAGAGGCTTGGACTAGAAGTCAAGAGTCCTGGGTTCCTATCCTGGTCCCTTTAGGGCCCAACATTATGATAATGGCTACTAATGAATCATGCCTCCCCTGTGCCCTCCCCCCTTCACTCTCAGTTTACAGGGGCACGTATTGAGAGATGGTATCTATTTTTCCATTCTTTGGACATGGGTTGCCCTTGTGGCTGGCTTCGGTCAATAGAATATGGCAGAAATGTCACTGTGAATCTCTGAGCTAGTCTTTAAGGGACCTTGCATTGCAGGTGTTATTTTCACTCTCTTGGGACACTGCCATTGCCATGTTTAGAGGCGAGGTCTAGCCTCCTTCAGGATAAAGGAGACGGAGGCCCAGCCGGCTGCACAAACCTGCCTGCTGCATGCAGCTGCACAGGGAGCCCCATGAGGCCAAGAGAAGACTTGTCCGGTAAACCCACAAAACTGGGAAAACTAATAAATCATACTTGTTTGATGCCGCTAAGTTTTGAAGTGGCTTGTTACACAGCAATAGATAGATGAGCAGCTTGTTGAAAGGTCGTTTTTAAGAAACACCTTATAAGCAACCTCCTGCATGTTCATCACATCCCAACAAAACTCCCCTCCCTTCCCCTACTGATAATTCTTTTTCTCTCAAACTAGAACAAACTTTCAGCCTTTTTTCTATCCAAGGGGCTATACCTAGGTTCATTTTCTCTCTTCCATCCTTGGGGCTGGGACCTGTAGGGATACAATAAAGGTGTGAGGCAAAGTCACCTTCAGCCTCTAGTTGGGGAGGTGGGTGGCAGAGTGTGTCTCCTGAGAAAAACAGAACTTTCATCTCAGAAAAAATTTCAGTTTGTCTAGGCTGCTAAGGAAGATGTCTTCAAGAAGGAGGATGCCTTTCCTGACCGCATGACCAAAGAAAGAAAATGACCAGGCATGGTGAGGCATCCCTGTAGTCCCAGCTATTTGGGAGGCTGAAATGGGAGGATTGTTTGAACCTGTTGAGCCCAGAGGTTGAGGCTACAGTGAGCCATAGTTGTGCCACTGCACTCCAGCCTGAGCAAGAGAGTAAGACGCTGTCTGAAAGAAAGAAAGAAAAAAAGAAAGAAAGAAAGAAGAAAGAAAGAGAGAGAAAGAAAGAGAAAGAAAGAAGGAAAGGAAGAAAGGAAAGGGAAAGAAAGACAGAAAGACAGAAGGGAGGAGGGAGGGAGGGAGGGAGGGAGGGAGGGAGGGAGGGAGGGAGGGGAAAAGAAAACTGTAGATACTGAATAGCAACATGGGTGATCTGCTTGTTGCTAAGATATCAATTGTACCTTGGTCTTTTCCTTCTCTGCTTCATCCCTAATCTCTATTCTATGAAGTTTAGAATGTAGTTATTCTAACACTCTCTATTTCCTAAGGACCCACAAAAGGAAACAGAATAAAGTCCATGAAGACTTTCTGAGGAGTTGATCTACTGACGGTCCATCTCCAGGCCACCGAAGGTGAGAGGGCCTGTGTGGATAATCATGATATGTCTTCCTATGACCTTGACATGTTCCTGATTGTATTACTTTTTTTCCATAGCACATAAAACATTCTGCAGAAATCAGAGAAAGCAAGATTATCTTATGAGAAACACAATCTCTTGCCTTAAAGATGAAAGGACTGTCAGATATGTCCTCTGATTGAGGACACCAGGTATGTTATTTCCTGCCACAGCACATTGAGGGGCTCACACTTTTCCACTGCCATCAGCTTAGGAAGCAACTGAATTTGTTGTTTATCTTTGCAAGAGGGAGAAGCTTAGCATCAGTGAAGACATTGGTATTTGGTAGGTACTCATTTAATCTCTGATCAATCTTACAGAATGAGTTAGAGTATTCTCTCCCTTGGGGCTGCATTTTGCCCCAGTGGTGTCAATTGGAGGCCACAGATCCACAGAAACTTTTGGCTCATTCTCAGTCCTTCATGGGGCTGTTTGCTGCCTTGCAACTCTAATAATCTGTAGGTCTAGTCAAAGTGTCACCCTCTCTCTAGGACTCAGTGCTTTGATCTGTAAAAAGAAGAGATTGGGCCAGAGGATTTCTGTTTCCACAGAAGAATCTAGTTCAATATTTTGAGTCTGTGGTTGCCTTCAGACTAGCAAGAACTTTAAAACTGGTTTCATGATTTTGGATATTCTGGAAGTTTCGATTGTTTTAAAGAAGATTAGAGGTTCTGGGGCTGGGTAATTTTTTGTCTGAGCTACACCCGATCTATCTGGACAGAACCTACACAGTCGTCTTCCCACCAACTGGTAGACCTCCAGATACACAAACACTGCATAGGCTGTGGGTCACAGAGCAAAAGCTAATTGCTGCACTGGAGTCTGAGCCTAAGGACTGACTTGGGTCCCTAGCAGGAGCTATCCAACACTTTGGCTATCAAAAAAACCTGGATAACGTTAATAATAATCACAATAATAATAACTATTTCTCTTTTTTTGAGACGGAGTTTCACTCTTGTTGCCCAGGCTGGAATGAAATGAAGAGATCACAGCTCATAGCAACCTCCACCTCCCAGGTTTTAAGCGATTCTCCTGCCTCAGCTTCCTGAATAGCTGGGATTACAGGCATTGTGCCACCACGCCCAGCTAATTTTTGTATTTTTAGTAGAGACAGGGTTTCTCCATGTTGGTGAGGCTGATCTTGAACTCCCAACCTCAGGTGATCCATCTGCCTTGGCCTCCCAAAGTGCAGGGATTACAGGCATGACCCACCACGCCCAGCCACAATACAGCTAGTGCTTGACTTACGACCACGATTGGTTCCGACAGACCGGTCGTAACATGATTTGGTCGTAAGTTGAGTAGGCTATATGCACACGGAGATGGTAGTGCTGCCGGAAGCTGGTCCGCACTGTTGTACGCCCAGCTGGGCAACGTTCGCGCTGCCAGACGCGGAGCAGTCGTGGCTAGCAATTGTGGTCGTAAAGTCGAATGGTCGTAAGTTGCTTAGGTCGTAAGTCGATCAATGCCTGTAATAGTAACTATGTCTTCAAAGTTTATCCTATGCCAGATACAAAGCTAAGCACCCAAAAAGAATCTCATTTAATATTTGCGAACTTCTGAAGCTGGTATTATTATTTCCATAATACAGATGGCAAAGTAAAGTTTAAAGGTTAAGCAATTTGCCCCAAGCCTCTCAGCTAATAAGTGATGGATCTGGATCTGGGAATGAAATCCTCTGTTCTACTCCGAGACGCCTGAGTGACCATCCTGCTACACTCTCCGAGTCCTGGGTGGTCTTTGAGAGAAGCTTTTACTCATCATGTCTGTATCTGCGGGAGTGCCCAGTTAGATCACAGTGTTCCAGATTTACAGGCCCTTGGGATAAACTATGCAGATTTTCTGTATTTGTTACCCCATCTCTGCCTGTGTTCATGTCTCAGCCAGGACCCCCTTTTCCCATCCCTGGAGGTCTCTGGGCCATGTTGACATGTCTGGTTTATAAACTTACTGGCTCTACATTCTCTAGCCCTTTCATTCAGTGTCCTAAATTCTTTAGGAGGCTGCAGGAGGCAGAGAAAGCAAGGTGGGCTGAAGGTGAAAGACCCTACGGAGGGCTATCAAACAACATGATATGCAAGCTCTTTATGTTACCCTAGGACTTTTAAAAACCCAATTATATTGCCCTTGGTCATCCTGATATGGAGATTATGAACTTGGCCTTTGGCATCAGCTAGACCTGAGTTCTAATCATAGTTCTAAAGCCTTTTCCAAGTTACCTCCCTTCTCTACGTCTCAGTTCCCTCATCTGTACAATGGAATAAGTCCATCAAAGGTTGTTTTTAGCATTCCCGGAGATCACGCATATGCAGGGTTCGGCACAGTAAATGTTCCAAACTTGTAGCTGCTATTTGTAGTACACCCTCATTGGCCGCCAGCCTAGCTCCTTCTCACTTTTCCCTCGCTGGGCGAGGTGGTGCACTGCCCTTTCTGATAGGTCAAAAGCTGGCCTGCCTCTGGAACTCTCCTTGATGTGGCTCCCCTTCCCATTTTATGAGCAGGAATAGGTGGAATGACCTTGAAAAGAAGCATGATTAAGCACTTTTAACTAAGCACTGACTGTGTACAGAACACAAAATTAGGCATAGGGAAACTGTGTTCTTACAGAGTAGAGCATCCAGTTGAAGAGCTAAGACCAATACTCCAAAAGGATGAGGCTGTAAGAAGACAGGACTGTGTATAACTAAGTGCTATGTGGGCGCAGAGGACAATCGCTAAAGCTGCTTAAAACCCTAAGCCAATGGTTCATCCAGATCCCAGAGAGAAGGATCTCAGAGGCCTAGGGACCTGAGGAATCTCATAGCTGGTTATAAAAGCACATTATCTGTAAGAGTCAGGATCGTATTGCTGGCACCCTGGGTGGGCACAGGGGCTGTGGCAACGATGTATGTGTGAGTTGCTGTTTCCATTCCCAGAGAGCAGAGCTCATGTTTGGGCTTGGAGGGTGTTTCCCACTCAATAAACAAAGAGTGGCCGCAACAGGACTGGGGCAAAACAGTGAGGCAAAAGAGCACGGAATTAGATGTCCAGAGACCTGGGTCTTAATTCCATCCTGACAACTACTACTTGTACGACCTTGAGCAAGTCCTTTGCCTTTCTACTTATAAAATGAGGTGAGTGGATCAGGAGTTTTCAAACCGTGCTCCATGCTACCCTAGGGTTCTAGAAATTCTGGAGCTCAAGGGCATCAGTGGGTCGAGAAGACAGGTGACTGGTGGGTCGGGACTCCAGGCTACCTCTCTCTCTACTTTCCCTGCCTTCAACCAGAGCAGCCCCCTTATATCTTTTTACATACGAAGATTCTTTTCTTGGAAAATCACCTAACTTATCTCCCTCCATGTCATTTCCACTTGCCCCTAGGTCAAATGAGCCCCAGAGAGCTGAAGCAACCTGGTCAAGGTCACCCGGTGAGTGACAGATATGGTACTAAAGTCTCCTTTGTGATAGTGCTGACAATTATTTACTGTCCAGGGAAACATGGCACTCCCCATCTCTTATGGATTTGGAAGGAAATCATGGTTCCTAAATTCTGAAATGGGCAAAGGTAGGGCAGAGAGGAAGGGCTGAGCGAATTGAGCAGAAAATACACAGAGCTCCCATATACCCCCTCCTCCTTTGCATTAGTGTGGTACATTCATGACCAAGAATGAGCCAATATTGACGCACTATTTTTCACTAAAGTTCACAGTTTACATTGTTTACACTGTCCTCCAAAGTGACTGTACCATTTGGCATTGAACAGAAAATACAGAGCTCCTTGTCCTCTGAGTCAGGGTTCACTCTTTGTGCTGCACATTGTACAGGTTTTGACAAACACGTAATGTCATGTACCCATCATTACGGTATTTTACAGAATGGTTTCACTGCCCTAAAAACCTCCCATGCTCCGTCTATCCATTTTTCTCCTCTTTACTCCCATGCTCCTGGAAACCAGTGATCTTATAACTTACTCCATGGTTTTGCCTTTTCCAGAATGTCATCAAGTTGGAATCATACAGATTTCAGATTGGCTTCTTTCACTAAGCAGTATCCATGTAATGGTCCTCCCTGTATTTTAATTGTTTTGATAGCTCACTTCTTTTTGTCACTGAGTAATATTCCATTGTATGGATATACCAGTTTGTTTACTCATTCACAAATGGAAACTGAAGGTCACTGTGATTACGTCGAAATTTTGGCAATGATGAATAAAGCTGCTATAAACACTCATGTTTATAGCACAGGTTTGTGTAGACATAAGTTTTCTACTCATTTAGATAAATACCTAGGAGTGTGATTGCTGGATCAGGTGTGAAGATTATGTTTAGCTTTGTAAGAAACTAACAAACTGTCTTCCAAAGTGGTTGTACCGTTTTGCATTCTCACTGTCATAGTGGGTTTGTTTATTTGTTTGTTTTGAAACAGAGTCTTGCTCTGTTGCCCAGGCTGGTATGCAGTGGCATGATTTCAGCTCACTGCAACCTCCGCCTCCTGGGTTCAGCGATTCTAGTGCCTCAGCCTCCTGAGTAGCTGGGATTACAGATGTGCACCACCACACCCAGCTAATTTTTATATTTTCAGTAGAGACAGGGTTTCACCATATTTTCCAGACTGGTCTTGAATTTCTGGCCTCAAGTAATCCACTTGCCTCGGCCTCCCGAAATGCTGGATTACAAGCATGAGTCACTGTGCCAGGCCTGTCATAGTGTTTTAATTTGCTAAAAGTGTCATTAAGTGGCCTTCTAAGAAAAATTAAAACTAAATTATTAGCATAAATTTGACTGTTTATATTGTAAAATGCAAATATAAGAACATTAACTCAAGGCTGGGTGCCGTGCGATGATCCCAGCATTTTGGGGGCCAAGGCAGGAGAATAGTTTGAGTACAAGAATTCAAGACCAGCCTGGGCAACACAGCAGGACCCCATCTCTACCAAAACAAAAAAATCTGGCTGGAGGTGGTAGTGCCATGCAGATATAGTCCTAGCTACTTGGGAGGCTAAGGCAGAAGGTTCACTTGAGCTCAGGAGTTCAAGGTTTCAATAAGCTATGACTGCACCAGTGCACTCCAGCCTGGACAATAAAGCAAGACTATTTTTCAAGTCTCTGAAAAAAAAAAATCACTGAAATTACACAATTTGTATTTTGAAGCTCATACATGCATATGTATTTCATTCTTGCCAGAAAAGTAGAAATACTGCACAGACTTAAGTGTGTTTGATAAATGGGCAGTCTACCAACATTCTCTACTTTCCATTTATTTTTCCTGTTTTTTAAAATTCTGTATTTTATTTCAAATTCTACCTTCAATTTAATGAGAAGTAAGGAAGGACACAGAGGGCAAGAAACTACACATTGTCCTGTGTTTTTCTTTCCTTCTATAGCATCGGTTTCAGCAACAGTGGTTGGCTGACACAGGGAAGTAACAGGACTAAGGAAGTCTCCTTGGTCGTTCTGTTTCTTAGATCACCACTGCCTTCTTTCTGTATTTGAAACAAGTTCTGATTTGAACGGAAAGCACAGCCTTACAGTGCGGAGCATCCACTTACGCAGTCACAGTCATGTTAATAGGGAACAGGAGTAGGGAATCTCTCTGTTAAGAGAGACTCAAAGCCATGAGCTTTCAGACCATGCTTATCTTATGCCTGCTTGAGTCTCCCTGAGCCACCATGCATGGTAGGTCCACTGGAATTTGGTGTTCACAGGGCATCCCAAATGTTCTATCCAAATGGAGCAGCAAGGAAAGGAGGACACACACATCGCGAATGCCTCCTCTGCATGTCCCATTGTTCTATCAGTCTTCACTTACAAAACACACATTCAAAGATTAATTTGTTACAGATTTCAAGATGGCCAGCCAAGCATACACTGGGCCCTTCTGAATGCAGACCCATTAGGCAGCACAGGTTAAAGAGCTGTGAAGCTGGCCTTAAGTTTCCTTAAATGTTTTCTGTTCTGCTCCACTGAAGGCCACAACTCTCTCTTCTTCCTCTCATCTGCCTAACGCTCAAACCAGGACCCTGAACATGGTCCTGAGTCCTCACTCTCTCTCAAAGTCCACATTCAGTCACCAACTCCTACTAATTCCCCTGCAGAGGCGCCTCTTTAAGTTTCCCACTTTCCACTCCACCACTCCCACCTGGTTCTGCCTGCAACTGCTGCAAAAGCCGCATGATGGATTTCCCTGCCTCCTGTTTCTCTCCTCTAATGGAATCTCCAGATGGTAGCCAGAGTGAACTTTCTAAAAAGAAAATCTAATCAGGTTACTTTCCTGCACAAAACCCTTCAATGCCCCTAAAGTCCTCGAGATCAAATCTTCTCATGGCTTACAGGATTCCTTCTGGTCTGGCTCCTGCCTGACTTTCCAGCAATATTTCTCCTAGTTCACCTCTCATTTTGGTGCTCCACAAAAATTGAACAATGTACACATCTTTGAATATCCTTTTCTCAGCAACTCATTTATTCTTCGCAAGCCTCAGATATGACTTCTCCCCACTGCTATGTTTGTAAATGCCACCACATAATACTTTCAGAGCTGTATCTAATTACTGATCTGCATTTTGCTCTAGATTCTAAGCTCCAGAGAGCAGTCACTTTGTCTGGGATTACTGTAGTGTCCCCAGTGCACTTAGTACAGTGTCTGTCATGTAGTCATGACTCAATGAAAAATGTATTGGAAGAACAAGCTCTCTCGAAGCTCCCTGAGCCAGATGTGTCCTCATGTCACAGGCCAATGAGACAAAAGCTTCTGGGTGGGCGGTGGGGTGAACTGGGTGGTACCCAGCCCATTTCCTCATTTCCCTGGGCCAGCCTTTGCTAATTCACTCACATTTCTTGGCAGGCTATGCATGACTCTTTATTGGGGCTTCTTGGGCAAATGTTTTTCAACTTTCCATTTGTCAACAATGGCTCAGGAAAATGGAGAATACATAAAAATACCAACCTCTATATAAAATCAGAGTTTTCAGGGACATTCTCTCAGCCCAAAGAATACCCTTGTTTGGCCCAATCTGAAGTTTTTCTGAGTAGGGTCAGCCTGACCAAGCAACAGAGGGGGTGAACGAAGTGGGATAATTTATGCCATTTCCAGAATATCTGTCCACATTGCACACAGGGTGGCTAATCTGGAGTGAAATAGCAAGCATTTGTGCAAACTAATTTAACATTTTTCTCAAACACCTCAGGTTGTTGCAAAACCGCTTTGTGCTATTAAAGAGAAGTTAAGAAGGGAAAGAACAAACAAAAAAAAATAGCAGTTTGAAGTTGAAGACAAAGAGTCTCAGAATAGCTTCATTTCTACACCACAGTCACAGCAAAATCATCCTTTGAAAATTGCTTTTTAGTTAACAAGCCTGTTTATCTTGTCTCACTGGATCCTTGTAACAATGCAAGAGTTCCTTGAAGTTTTCTGTACCAAGTCCAAATCCTCCATCTGCTTTTAAAGTCATCCTTGATCTCAGCCTCTGCCTGTGCCCCTACCTGTGTCACAATCAGCTGGCCACGGGTCCCTCGTTATCCAGGCTCCATGCCTGGGTCACAGGCCTGGGAACGCTCCCATTGATGTGATCTTCATGGCTTCTCCCAGGGCATGCTTCACTGTAGTAGATGTCAGTCTTTTCTCTCTGGTTTCTTTTACAAAGTGTATAGAGTGTGTATATTCATAAAGTGTGTATCTTTTATAAAGTATATATCTAAAAGAACATTTTGTTTTATTTATCTATTTTGGGGTTCATCATTATGACTCCTGAATCTAAGCTTTTTTTTTTTTTTTTTTTTTGGAGAGAGAGTCTTATTGTATCACACAGGCTGGAGGGCAGTGGTGTGATGACAGCTCACTGCAACCTCAACTCCTGAGCTCAAGTGATCCTCCCACCTCAGCATCCCAAGTAGCTATGACAGGCACATATCACCATGCCTGGCTACATTTTTAAATTTTTGTAGAGATGGGGTCTCTCTTTGTTGCCCAGGCTGGTCTAGAGCTCCTAGATTCAAGCGATCCTCCCACCATAGACACCCATAGTGCTGCAGTTACAGAGGTGAGCCACCGCACCCAGCCTGAATCTGAACATTCTTACCTTTCATTGGTTCTCAGCCACCTTCTCTTCAAACATTGCCTCACCTCACCCCATTCTCTCTGTTTTCTTTCCTGGAAGTCCTCTTAAATATATGATAGACTTTCTCATTTTATTCTCCAAGTCTCCTAATATCGCTTTCAGAATTTTCATCTCCAATCTCCATCCAGATACTTTCCCACATTTAGATCCAAGTTTTCTATTGTTTCTCAGCTATCTCTAATCTACTATTTAATCTGTTCACTGAGTTTTAAATTAATGAATATTTTTCTTATTTCCAAGAAAGGGTATGTTAGAAATAAATTTACAGTGCTGCAAAAGAAATAGCACTCAAACATAAATTTTCTCAGCAAGGCAATTTACTTCTATAGAAGGGTGCATCTTGCAGATGGAGCAATGGCAAGAGCACACCTGAACAAGGGAGAAGAGGTTCTTATCACAGGAAGCCCCTACTGCTAAGTCATTCCTCTATTGGCTAGGGTTGGACTGCAGAGACTAAGCTAATTCTGATTGGCTAATTTAAGAGAGCAGGGGTACAAGGCAGAGAGGCAGGGTGAGCAGTTTCAGCAGGAAAGATGGCTACAGATCAGGTGACTAAAGGTGACCCAGGTCAGAGCAGGTGACCAGGAGTGACTCAGGATGGAGCAGGTGACCAGGTGACTCAGGACAGAGCAGGTGACCAGGGGTGACTCAAGATGGAGAAGGTGACTAGGATGAGTCAGGACTCTAAATATGTAGGTTAGGAGGGTGATCCATGAGGGGGATGTGTGGTTTCAGAGAAAGGAATAGGTGCAGGTAACCAGGGGAACAGATGTGAACTTGTAATTAGAGATGGTGGGAAGGTTGTTTACTAAAACTAGCGGCAAGGAGATGAAGAAAACGAGGAAGGTAAACTTTGGAGAACAAAGGACAAGGAAATTGAACATACTGACATAGTGATTCTTTGAAGAGAAACTTAGAATTCACTGTATTTAACAACTAGTATTTATTTTTAAAGCCTGATTTTATGCATTTATGTTTTTTAAGCTTTATTTTATATTGTTAATTATTTTAACATACTTAATTATCTCCTCTGATGGTTGTATAATCTAAGGCTCTTGAAAGTCTAATCCTATTGTTTGTTGACTCTGCAGACTTTTGCTTATGTTTTTGCCTTCAGTGTTGTATGATTTCAGATTGTGAGCTCATCTTCAGCAGGGCTTTAAACTGGAGAAACCTGTGTAATCAAACTGCTTGCTTCTAACAGAGTATAATTGGCCCATACCAAAGTTTATGTTATTTCTTTAGTCCAGGGATTTCTAGGTTGTGCAGGAATTATTTATTTAAACCCCAAACCCATGAACGGCTGAATTCTTAAGTAAGACATTTTCCCCTCCACCCCAAACACATGAAAGGTTCATGCCAGTGGTTCTGAATTCTTAAGGGAGACATTTCCCCCTCCTGAGCTAAAGATAAACATGCTTTCCTCTCATTTTTCTCTGCTAGGGATTGATTTTTTATGCAATGTTTTAAAGGACATTGCCCTTCCAGGGTCCTGGCTTTAGATTGACATCTCAGTGCCAACATGCCACCTCCCACAGGCTCAAGAATTTGTTTCCTGCCCCTGAACAGTATTAAAGCCTGAGCCTCTGTGCAAATAAGACCAGCTCTAACACCAATACCACTCTCATCTGTGGTAACTATAAGAGACAGCCAATGTGATCACTTTTCTAGTTTTCAGTTCTCTCTTGATTTCTAGCTCCTGGGAATTTTTGTTCACTCAGCTTTGTTAATAACAGCATTTCTTGTTTATAACCACCAGGTGCCATGCTAAGTGCTTATTGTATGCCTCAACCCATTTAACTCCTGTCACACCCTTTTAGGTAAGTGCCATTACCATCAGTCTTGGTTTCATATAAGGACATTGAGGCATAGAGAGGTACAGTAACTGCCCAAGGTCATAAGGCTGTTAAGGGAATAAGCTCAGATTGGAAGCTTAGGCAAAATGACCTCAGAGCCCATGCATCCTCTTAACTCATACTTTTTATTGCCTTAATTAGGATATTTAGGTGTTTTTCTAAAAGGAAACAATTTAGACTACATATTATAGTTTCACTGTATTTATCCCCAAACATCTGAATCAAGAATAACTGCATGAATAGGTGTGCTTTCTGTCAAACTGACAGCCTGACAATTATTTTAGCTGGTAGCACAGAGAAAAAGTTGAAGCCTGAACCTTGGGGAAGAAGCCAAAATCCAGGCTCTATCATGAACACTTTTTCTGCTAACTCAAAGAAAATGACTTAAAGCTGAGGAAGTTGTAGTACCTTCTCATTATCAGGGGCTTTACTGACAGTCCTTATCAAAGTGTGGTCTATGGACCATCTGCATCAGAATCAGCCCAAGGTACTTCTTTAAAATGCAGATTATCCCGAACCTAATAAATACGAATTGCTGGGGTCAGATCCGGGAATTGACCTTTTAAAATAAGTTCTCTACCAGGTTCTAATTAGAGTGTGTACTGGGGTTTGAGAACCACTCACTGCCCAGGGTTTGCTTTGGAGCCCAACGTGGGACAACAGGCACAACAAAGCCTCCCTACCTTCCTTTCACGATATGGCACCACACACTCAAAGCACAGATGAGGGAGCAAGTCCATGAATGTGGCCTTCTGCTGCGGTTCCATGGATCCTGGGTTCCTCCCATATGCCACTCCTATTAATTACATTACCATACTACCATGAATTGCACTACGCTGTAAGTAATGGTGTTCACTGCTGTCTATCTCCCCATATAGTCTGCAAAGGTAGAAAATGCTCTTTGGTTAGCTTTACTGTTAAAACACGCGCTCTGAATAAGGAGACCCCCCCAAACAAGCTTTGTGTGAGCAACATGGTTGTTTATTCACCCAGGTACGGGCACACTGAGTCCGAAAAGAGAGTCAGTGGAGGGCGGAGGGTAGGAGTTGGTTTTATAGGTTTGGGGTAGGCAGTGGAAAGTTACAGAAGTTACTGTTTAGGGGGGTTTTTTGCAAGCTGGGAGGGGGTCATAGGGTCTGGAGTCAGGAGGCTGACCAAGGTCAGTTACAAAGTCCAATGGCCTTGTCAATTGAGGCCACAATAAGAAACAATAGAAGAATGTCTCAGGTTAGTTAGGTGCCACAGGGGTTGATCGTTTTTCATGATTTTTCAGCTACTTCAGGTTTTCTAATTCCGGAAGGCCCTCCAGAGGTGTACATGCAGGTCACGGGGGTCGTTAGAGTATCCATGGCACCATCAGTCAGCCTAAAAGACCTTACGTTTACATCCTTGATGCATAGCTTGAAGCCTGACAGGTAGTAATCATTCAGTGCTTGTTGAATGAATGAATAAATTGATTTGAACTGCTCAAGAGCCCCCTACTAATCAATGATTTGGTGTGGGCTAGAGCCTAAGTCTTTAATTATCCCAAGAAGCCTTTAAATCTTCCAACTCTGCTATTCCAGCAGTCATTTTTCTTCCACTCTTTTGGGGGACGATGGAATTTTTTTTTGCCAAGAGAAGGTTCGAGGTACAGGATAGCAATGCATTCCTTCTCACCCCACTGAATCCCACTGAGACACTGGAATTGCTATCCAGTAGCTAACTGGGTGGGTGGGTGGAGGGGCGGGGGAGTGAGGTAGGGCAAAGGCAGACATTCAGAAACTGTAATGTGAGAATCATCTGGAAATACTGTAGCCCGGACGGCGATGAAAAGGGCCCAGCCGCTCCAAGACAGAGTTCACCGTTGTTGGTCCTTGAAGGCAGGGAAGCCAGGCCAGGATGCCACAAGGCTCCTAACCATGCTTCTCTCCAAACATGCCCCTTTAACCTGCAGGTGTGTCCTCACCCTGCAGCACAGTGAAGCATGGCAAGAGGACCCTGTGTCAGGGAAACTAACCTGCAGTCCCTGCCAACTCTACCCAGTGGAAGGAAGAGTCCAGCAGGCTGGTATCTCTCCAAGGATCCACTTTTCTTCTCCAAACCAGGGTTTGAACCAGCTCCTGAGTCCCAAGTGTAGCCCAATCTTTCAATTTGTTATTTACAAAACACATTTTATTCCAGCTCTTTCTATGTGCCAGATCCTCTGACGGTTACTGAGATGAGTGTAGGACTTGGGCCCCACCCTGATGGTTTAGGCTGGAAGACAGGCATTCACATTCACTTGCCAGGTCATCATTCAGGGAACAGCTTCAGGCTCCTCACCTTCTCCTGCCTGAACAGCTTCAACCCCTTTGATACTTCTCTGCAGGTGCCACAACATGGAGATTGTTATTTTAATGCTCACAGGGCCTATGTGATGTGGGGCACCCAGTTCCATCAGTGACCCACACGTTCGAGTGCCATGGAATCACAGGCTTCCCAGCAGAGCCTTACTGCATAGGAATCTAGAAAGAGCACCCATCTCCCACCTCCCTCACACCGTCTCACTCCTGCCTGTCTCTCTCTGCAGCCTCTTTGTCTCCTTTTCTTTCACCTTTGGCTCATACTCCACTATATGTCTAAGTACTCACTAATCTGGAAGCCTCATGTGTTGCTGATTCAAGGCCGTTGTAGGCAGGCTGAGAATTCTCAGCAGTTAACCATCACATTATCTCCTACTCTCACAGGGTCTCCCAGGGGATTAAGGAAGCTGGTGCTTCTTAGGACATCAGGAAACCAGACACAAGGTGGCCAGCTTAGCAGGTGCCTGTGCTGTGTCCACGAACACTTGTGTTTATTCACTTGTTTCATTACACGCATTTATCAAAGACAAAAGGGAACATACTGGCTTGCGTGTAAACTGCAAACTCTAGGAATGGAGCAGAGGCAGGATGTCGTGACATTCTTTCACCAGGGCCCTGCTTTTCTTTGCTCATCTCTCAGTTCCGCTCACTCTGCTTGTCTCTACCTCAGATCTGTTCTCCCTGGGGGCAGCAAGATGGCCCTGGCAGCCCCGGCTCCCACCCCTTGCCCCATTCCAACTCCAATAAAAGTGTCAGAATTGACTCTCAAAGAGTTTATGCTAAAATGAAACTTTTAATGACAAAAGACAAAACATGTGATATCAGAAGCTTTGCAGGTGGCTCTTGCTGCACTTGCTGTGCTACACCAGCTGACTCCTATTGGTGCTTTCCGTCTCTCTCTTTCACCAGACAGCATGTTCCATTAAGGCAAGAACCTGTCTTTCTTATTTTTCATTGCATCCTTGGCATCTAGCACCATGCAAGGAACATAGCATCAAAAACAGTTGCTGAAAGAAGAGAAAGAGGAAGGAAGGGTTAACTTGAATAGGGGCTGGGCTCTGGGTATTCTGACCCCAGAGAAGTCTTACCCACCCAAAGACTCCAATTTCTATGACCTCATGGAATAAGAAATCATCAGGCTCAGTCCAGGCACAGTGGTTCATGCCTGGAATTCCAGCACTTTGTGAGACAGAGGAGGGAGGTCGCTTGAGCCAGGAGTTGGAGATCAGCCCAGGCAACATAGCAAAACCCTGTCTCTATTAGAAAAAAGAAAAAAGTAAAAAAAAAAAAAAAAAAAAAAAAAAAAAAAAAAAAAATTAAAAGAAATCATCAGGCTCTCAAAAAGTCTCCAAAGTACACCAGAGGGAAAAATAAGAGTAGCTCTGCCCCAAGGTCCAGCCATAGGAGAGTGAGCATGCTTCTTTCTGAAACAAGCCGCCATACTGGCTGCACTCTCCCAGTTGGGCTGGATGACCATGTGGTAGAAGTCAGCCTCTCTGTATTCCAGAAAGGGAAAAGTTGAGCTGGAGGTAGAACGATGGTCCATCTAGGGGAAAAGATAATCAACTCTCTGGCTTCATTTTAGTTTAAACTAGACCTACATTTGCTCTCCAGCTTGGCAGAACAATGTTGACAAATGCCTTTCTTTTTCATCCAGATATTCCCCAGCTGGCTTCACGAGTCCCTGAATGGTGTATGTTTTGGCATAAATCTACCCACAGGACCTTTAAGAGGTCATATCCCTAAGCAAATTCAATTAAAAAAAAAATGAACAAGTCCTTGGCACAAACTGTAATTCTCTCCAAATCTAATATTGAGACCTGGTGCATTTTTTCAAAATGGAAGCCACCAGTAGGACCTGCAGAAAATGTGTTGAATTTATTCATGAGTGAAGGCAGAAGGCTGGAGGTGAGGAAAACTCATTTCTCCCAACCCAACAAAACCAAGCAGATTTAAGAGAAAGAAAGAGTTACTCTTGACTGAGAAGAGGTGAGTGAACCTGAGAGGGAAGCAGGAGAGAGATGGGAAAAGTTTCCTACCTCCTGGTTCAGTGAGATGGAGAGAAGGGAGGGGAGGAAAGGGAAGGGGAGGGGAGGGGAGGGGGGGAGAGGAGGAGAGTGGAGGAGAGAGGAGGGAAGAGGAAGGGAGGGAAGAGGAAGGGGAGTGAAAGAGGAGGGGAAGGGGAGGGATGGAAAGGGGAGGAGAGGGGAAGAGAGGGGAGGGGAGGGGAGGACAGTGGCGGGGAGGGGAGGGGAGGGGAGTGGAGGAGAGGGGAGGGAAGGAGAGTGGAGGAGAGAGGAGGGAAGAGGAAGGGGAGAGAAAGTGGAGGGGAAGCGGAGGGAAGGAAAGGGGAGGGGAGGGGGAAGGGGAAGATAGGCATGCATAAAGACCTGCAGGGCCAATAGAACACATTCTCCTGGGCCTAGGAGGAGAACATGCCTAAATCCCCCAGAATCTCCTTCATGAAAAAGGTCAGTCTTCCAGGGGGAAGACCACAGGAGTCCACAGGAGGCTGCCTCCTGGGAGATTATGGAAACAGGGGCTGTGGGCAGGCAGACTGGAGAGGCCTTTTGGCAATGGTTTGACCTGGTGTGTGAAATTTTTTTCCTGCTTAGATAGTTGGCACACATTTTAGAGGCAAAATGGAATTTATTAACCGAAGATATTTGCCAAGGATTGTTCTCTCCCCGATCAACGGCCCCCTGCCAACTCCATTCTTCATTTTTATTTTATTTTTTAAACTTCTTCTTCCCAGGATAGAGGACTTCATCAATAAGGTTCTTTCATCTCCCTTTGTTGTTTGGATCCTTAAGCCTGGCTTGAAAGAAGAGGGAGAAGGCTTCAGGGGAAATGCTGTCTGCGCTGACCCACAGCATGGCTTCCTTCAACAAATGCAGGTATCAGCTTTCTACCCTGGGAAGAGCCTGGGCTGATCATGAATTGTCTTTCCAGAGGAATTCATTTTGTTCGCCCTGGCATGGGCTTTGGAGCCCTGCAGAACTGAGTCTGAATCCATAATCCACTACTTATTAGCCATGTGGCTTTCATCTTTGTGAGCCTCCATCCATTTCCGTAGGAGTAGAGCAAGGGGAGAACACGTGTTGGCTCTTGCCATTGTTATGAGGATCCGTGAGATGGTACATGTTCGGTGTCTGGTACAGGGTCTATCTGACAGAGTGAAACCTCAGTGCATGTCACTTCTGTTCCTTCTTTTTTTTTTTTTTTTTTTTGAGACGGAGTTTCATTCTTGTTCCCCAGGCTAGAGTGGGCAATGGCAAGATCTTGGCTCACTGCAACCTCCACCTCCCAGGTTCAAGTGATTCTCCTGTCTCAGCCTCCCGAGTAGCTGGGATTCCAGGTGCCAGCCACCAAACCTGGCTAATTTTTGTATTTTTAGTAGAGATGGGGTTTCACCATGTTGGCCATGATGGTCTCGAACTCCTGACCTCAGGTGATCCGTGCACCTTGGCCTTCCAAAGTGCTGGGATTACAGCCACCACGCCCAGCCCAGTTCTGTTCCTTCTAATACAGGAGAGAGACCCTGATGGGAACATGCTCATGGGTTACTCAGCTAGGGATTAGAATATGGCAGCTTTAGATATCACTTAATACAGATAAGATTCCAGCCTTCACAAAACCTACTGATAAGCAGAGGCAGCAAAAATAGGTAATATTCATTGAGGGTTTACTAAGGACCAAGTGTTCTAAACACTTTACCTGTGTGAACTTATTTAACCTTCACTAGAATCCTACTGTTATGCCCAAAGCTTGAGAGTGGCTGAACTGGCATTGGAAGCCAGCCCACCTGGCTCTCCAGCCAACCTTCTCAACATCGTTGCAGCAGCGGAAGGGAACCACTGGATCAAACCATTTCAGAAACTGAGAAATTGAGCAGAAGCTGAGAGATCGACTCTTCCGAGCACTTGTTTTGCAGAGAAGGAAAGCAAAGCCCAGAGAGGGAAATTCTCACCCAAGGCCTTGTAGCTGCTGGCAGTGGAGTAGCCTCTAGTCTCTCAGGCCAGTGTCTTGCCACTGTGAAGAAGAGGAATGGCCAAACCCACTGCGGAGAGAGAATGTGTCATTGACCACACTGTCTATGAGAATGGCAGGTCTTACCTTTAAATTCCCTAATGGAATTTAATGCAGATTGAACCCACACAAAAAGCAACCATTTTTTTTTTTGGCCACCTCTGATTGGCTGCCTGCTATGAGAGAAACATCAGGAAGTACATATTGCCATGGAGGGAAGTGAAGATGGAGGACACCTCATTTGTGGAACTGGGCACGGCCTTTGGGTCACATGAGGCTCACCCCTGATGAGCTTGAACATGGCAGTTACTGAATATAACTCCAGAAACTGGTATTAGGCTCTGTATGGACATGCAGAGGAAGAAGAACCTGTCGCCACATCTACAGAGGGTTCAGGAAAGACACACTTGCAGTGACCCTAAGAAACCATGGGCAAGTCTCCATTTTTTCCCTCAGCCAAACCTGTATGCACTGGTACAGCCATACCAATTATTAAAATATTGAAAAATTTCTGCATCTCTTGGGAAATAGCCACTACCATGAGCCCCACTAGTGCCCTCAGCCACCCACTCTTCCCTGGCACCTTCAGTGACCTCCCTGAGTCCAGCAACAAAAGGGTTAACAGCAACAAAAGGGTTAACACTTGCCCCTGCACAGGGCCTCTGGGAGCCAGCTCCTGCCTTCAGAGCTGACTGTCTGTTAAGAATGGTCTAGGACTAGAGTCATTCTTACTGTTTTTAAATAGCTTGAATGTCACCTCCAGATGAGGCTACCCAAATGGAATGAGACATCTAAATAGAGCCATGTGGGGTCCATCTGGGGTGGCTCCCCAAAGGACAAATTTTGCAAAGGAAATCTGAAGGGGTAAGAGATGCAATTTAGTGGCTAGGAGAGGGAGGGTTTGAACAAAGCTCTGATTAAGGAGCAATCCTCCTGTGGTATGCTAGGGTTTAAACACAGGGTTCAGAGGGGCACGCACAGCCCTCTGCCCTCGGCTGCCCTCTGCACTGCTCCTGTCACAGACTCTGCGAACAGGCCTAGCAGTCAGTGGCTGCATTATTAATACTCCTTGATCTGCCGGACTCCCTCCCCTCATCACACATGCTGGGGGCTTATGCTCCTAGACAACATGTGCTGAAAGAATGCAGGTCAGAGCGGCACAGAGGACTCCCCGGCAACCCATCAATCCTGTGCCCAGCGGGGTTGCCAAAGGTCATCCAAGCAGGGTCGTGGGATATAGGAGGCTTCACTCAGATTCAGATATTTGCAGACAAAGAAAAAGGTTCAATCACGTCGGGGATATATCTCCCACACTGTGTGACAGCTGGGAAAAGGCTCCTTTGTCTTCATCTCATTCCTCCTGTTCAAATGGAGAACGAGCAAACAGGGCCAGGGAGGCAGAAAGAGTAAGGGCGGGACAGAGCCCACTCACCTTCCCCTACACTGCAGTGGAAATGCAGGGCGAGGCCAGGGTGTGTTTTGCTAGCTCCAGAGCCGGACAGTCCTGGATCCACAGCCACGACACCTTTACCAGCTGTCAGACCCTGGGCAGGTTATTTAACCTGTCGGAGCCCAAAGTTTCCTTGTCGATAGAACAGGGATAATAATGACTCAGGAGCCCTGTGAGGATCAAGTGAAGTCATATATGGAAGGCATCAATCCATGTGACTATTGCTGGTTCTCTTCCTTCATCTTATTAGACTAGGAAACAAAAACTGCCTCCCGAGCCATTCAAACGTTATAAACTAAGTTTAGGAGTTTTTTTCTGCCATCAGCATACTTTCACCCATATCTTCACCTGATTTTTTTTCTTCCCTTGAACTTCCCAATCCTTGGCTCTTTCCTAGGAATAAAAGGGCAAGAGATGCCCTGGCAGCAAGGATACAGTTCCTGCAGCCAAGTAGATATTTCAGAAGGGAAGGCGTCTGCCACGTTGTACTGTAGATCAAGGACCTCCCAAAAGTTCTAGGGCTTAACCGGAACTTTCACTTCTAGGAATCAAAGTGAAAACATTCAAGAATTTAAAGGTTCAAAGATTTAGAAGTTTATGTACAAAGTTGTGACGCACACATATATACACACTAAAACATGTGTGTGAATATATATATATACACACACACATATATATCACAATCTAAATATCACGTAAATTTTGCTAAATGAATTAAAGGAATTATATATGGTAGAACATTATAAAGAACACTATATCTGATAGGACACTATAAAGCCATTAAAAATCAGGTTTGAGAAAGTATTTGTTGAGAGAGAGAGACTCTTGAAATACATAGTACAGTGAAAAGTCAAGACCCAGAACTGTATTTATGGGATGATCTCAAACACCCAACAGATGTCTCAGTAAAGGCAAAAGACTGGAAGGAAATTCACCAGGATGTGAGTTCTGGTTAACTCTGAGTGTTGGTATTGGAAGTGAGTTTTATTTTCCTCATTGCAAAAGTAATTCATGTCCATGGTAGAAAATTTGAAAAACACAAAATGGCATAACACGAAAAGGTTGATTTTAGTTTTAAAATATCTTAAAAGAAGAATGATTGCTCTCCAATTGATCCACAAAAAAATGTCAGCAATCGAAACCTTCAGCTCCTTGACTGCGGGTGCAATGTTTGCAACACTATGCTCTGCACACACTATGCACATACACACACACATGCACATGCGCACTCCGAGATTGTACTAAGACACGCAGTGAAGTCCCTTGGTGGGGATGCAGGAGCTGAGGCTGGGATGAAGGTGTCCATTGGAAGAGGAAAGACATGTAAATAGGAGGAGAGGATTGTGAGGAGACATAAAATGAGAGAAGTGGCGAGTGGGCTTCTAGGAATAAAATTCCTGCTAATCACCATCTTCATTTAGAAAGATGGGCTGAGAGTCTTTTGCCTAAGAAAGAAGAGTCTACAGGATGGCTGGGACAGGTGCTATTTTAAGGAAAATATGTGCAACCATCTGGAGGTTGAAGGGCTTGCTCTCCAGAGACAGGTGGGCCTGTTTTCTATTGCAAATAACAAACCACCCCAAGACATGGCGGCTTATGGGACAGTGGTCATTCATGCATCTGCAGCCTGGGCAGGGCTTGGTGGGGCAGCTCACCTCTGCTCCACGTGCTGTCAGATGGGACGACGTGACTGGGGGTGCCCAGGACAGTGGTCCCCCAGGCCTGGCACACTGGTGCTAGTCAGCCGGGAGTGCAGCCAGGGCTGTGGGCTCCTCTCCACGTGGGCCTCTCGTCCCGAAGAGCTGCTTTGGCTTCTCTGGGCACAGTGGCTGGGTTCCAAGAGTGAGTGTCCCAAGAGACAGGAAGTGAGAGCTGCCAGTGTCTGAAGGCCTGGGCCCAGAAGTTGGCACAGTACCTCTTTCACTGTATTCATTTGTCAAGTAGTCACAAGGCCAGATTCAGGGCAAAGGGAGACAGATTTCAATTCTTGATGGGAAGAGGGTCAAAGAATTTGGGGGCCACATTTTAAAACTGTCACAGAGGGGGACACACAAGGTCAATTCTTGGGGGACTGCTCCAAGTCAAACTGTTTACATCGTGATACTCATGAAGGATAGGTGGGATGAGAAGTTTGAGGGGTGAGTAACATCGCACCACATCCATAAAGAAACTGCCTACTCTGGCCTGGGAGGGGAAGCCCAGTTGCTCTCTGGCCCACCTGGCCAGCCCCCACATCATGGCTCCCTCTGGCCTCTGGGCTCTTCTCCTTCCACCTCGTCTGTCCTCAACAACACTGAACACCCTCTAGCTGCCACAGGTTCCCAAGGCCTGTATGAGCAAACGGAACACCCTGCCACTCCTCAGAGCCAGCTATGAATGCCAAATGATGTCAGGGACCACTCAGGTGTTTCTGGCAAAAGAATTGGCCATTTTCTGTCCATGGGACTGACGAAGCCGAGGAGGGAACTAGTTGTGCTTTGTCTGGCCAGCGTGCAGCTCTGCCGGGACTGGTTTTCTCCTGGGACTTTAATGCCCATAAACTTCTGAGAGGGGACCTCACAGATGGAGTCCAGCCATGGAGGGGTATGAGGCTCAGAGCAGGGAAGTGGCTGACTCAGAAAAGATGGGGCTAGAACCCAGTTCTCCCAACTCCAAGCAGGTGTTCCCTCCCCCAGCCCATCTCCTAGGGCACATTCGTTCCCTACTAGCAATGGAGCTTCCACTGCAAGCAGGGCTCTTACACACAGGGGAGCTCATCTTTGATGAGAAAATGTTTCCAGTGCAACACCTCCACCCACCAAACCCTAATAGGGCATCTAAACATTTCCTGCAGAGCTCAGAAGGGCAGATCTGCGAAGCGAAGGTACACTGACTCCTACTCCAGAGCCAGTGAAACTTCTCCAATGTCCTCCGTGTCCCTTTTGTAAAGGATGGGAACTGTGCTTTCTATGGTGTGATGTATTTGAGGTTGGTTTTCTATAACAATGATGCTTCAAGTGAATTAGCATTAAGTAAAAAGGTGAATCCGGGAAGTCATGGCTTCCCGTGCCCCATACCACCCCATATGCCCCAGGCCCAGGATAGAAAGCATAGCCCAGTGCTGGGGCGGCGGTGGCAGAGTGGGGGGCTTACGATAGCATTTGAGTTTTCAGACCAGGTGGCCCTTGAATCCAGGGATCTGGGCAGGAGAGCCTGGAGCATTAGGGTTCTCCTACAGCCATAGAGCGTGCCTTACCACCGTTGCCCCAAACAGATATGCAAGCATCAGGCTGCCCAGGTGAAGGCAGAGGTGAAGGCTGAAATTCTGCTTGGGACCGAATGGCCCAAACATGTACCTGCCGGCAGCGGGGAACTGTGCCTCTCACCCTTCTCCACCAGCAAGCAGAATTCACCCTCCCAATGTTCCTGGTGTATGATCTTTGAACAAATGTTTATTGAATACCAGCTATGTACCTAAGACTCTTATAGATGCTTAGAATAAAGAGAAAAACAAACAAACAAAAATCCCTGCCCCTGTGAAACTTATATGCTAATGGAAGAGGCAATATGATGTCAGGGGTAATAAATTCTCTCAAGAAAAACAGAGTAGGGAGGGGATGGAAGACAGGGAGGCTGCTCTGGACACACTGGTCTGGGAGAGTCTCTGATGCGGCGATGTCTGCGCAGAGGCCTGAGTGGAGTAAAGGAACCCGAGGAGACATGGAGGTGGTAAGATCGCAGCCAAGGGCACATAAGCCTCCGTGCCCGAGTGGGAGCGCGTTTGTATTTAAGACTGGAACAAGCGAGCCAGGGAAGAGAAGTAGGAAATGAACCAAAGGCTCCTGCTCTCTCCACTGCGTGGAACCTAAAACGAGGAAGATAGGACTAGCATTGCTTAAGTACTGAGTATGTGTCAGGCACCGCTCTTATTCAATTGTTAAGACCACCCAAGGCGGGAATAGGTAGGCTCAGAGGACCTACCAGATCACACAATACTAAGTGCCTAACTTGGAATTTGAAACCGGAATAGATGACTCCACAGCCTGTTCTGTTTTCACTACACCTTCTGGAGACAGGCTTTCTTTCA